TTTTTTTGACCTCAAGCAGAAGTGAATTATGATACTTTTCTAGTTTAACAATTTTCCAAAATTCTCCGGGGAATACTTACTTTCTTTGTACTATACATGTAAAACTATCTATATCGCCGGATGATGGATTTGTATAATATGGTGGTTTCCAGTATAAGCAAATGAAACAATTAAAGTCCTTGTCAGAGATGCTTTTAGGATTTGACACCATCGTCGTTACGCGACCCATAGATGCTCGTGTTTTTGTTTTGGTTGGAGCTTCCAAAACCATTCATACTTGGTTCAGGATGATGCTGGTCTCCACAGGGAGGAACCATGTTCTCCGTAACTACGGAGTACTCTGTCGGGAGTTTTTATTATTTTCATTTTGTTACCTTCCAGCCAGCCCCCCACCACCGAGTTAGGTAGATGCTCTCTCTCACTCTGTGTGTGTGTGTGTGTTCTATGTATTTCTTATTAGGTATAGTTTTTTTTTTTTTTTTCCCACCGTTTCGGACCTTTTTTTCTGTCCTTATCCCTTCTTAATCTCCCCACTTTTTACCTTCCCTTCGAATTGCCCTAACTTTCGGGTCGTATACCGGGGTTCCCGGCTGTGCAAGTGGCTCAGGCCTTAATATCTTTTCCCCCCTTCCCCTCTATTGCATATGGAGTAGTTCACTGTACCTTTAAACTTCTTGCTTGCTGCCCTTCTCTCGTAATGAATGTCCTGCTCGGATTATCCTCGGTCATCTGAGAAGGTCAATGGCAGACTATAACCCCGTTAATCAAAGTGCCTGCCCACTATGAACTCCAAGCTAAAGGAGACAATCGGGATTGCGATGATCTAATGTAGATGTACACATTTGCGCTTACATACAAATTCACACACACCTATTGGAGGATACTTACAACTTACACATAAGATACATTGTGCAGAAGGTTTGAAGCTCGAGCTTCTACCAAACTCCTCTTTAATTACAAGACGTTTGCCCATACGGCCGGGCTCTTGTTTCGCCAGCACATCCGCCTACCGAGTCATCGTCAGAACCCAAACTGGGCTCGAACGTTCGGGGAGAGTTTGACCGCCAGTGAATTCTTCCATTCAAGTATAGTTTGGGACCCGGGGAGTGGAGCCCTCGAGTAAGTGATAATCGTCGTCGTTAATATTAATATTATTGATTGATTTATTATTTTGCTTTTTCTAATTTCTTTCCCTTTTACGTAGAAGACAAAAAAAACAAAAAAAAAAAACCAAAGCCTCTTTTTCATTAATTTCATCAGCGTTGTGTATATAGAAAGTAACAATTAGTCATGACTCTAGGCTCTTCTTTACCTCTCGCTGTGCCCTAGAAGGCTCTTAGTAGTTTCACTACCTTCGTAAATATCGAACTGGAAGAGTGTCAAAAGAGCATAATGGATTAGGTAGATAGGCATTAAGCTGCAACCCGGGACGGAACAGTCATAATTAAAATCACCTTGAATCGTGGTACTTCGTAATAATAGTAAAATTAAAATACTATTAATATTAACGGCTTCTCGAACCCACTGGTCCGTCAAAGTCGCCTCTGGTTAGCTTCCCCCATGCCCTACTTACCTATCAGGTACTTACCTTGACCTGGGCCTTACCTTTTAGGAGTACCTGTGTAGGATTATTACTGTTGAGCTTCTTATTTGCTATTCGGCGATGCTAGATCACCTGTCAATGCAGGCGATCTGTTTTTGCATCTCAAGCTGTTTCATCTCTTATCGGCTTTCCTTTTCCCTTTCCCATACCCTACCTTTTTTTCTTCCTTCTCCCATCATCTCGCCATCTTTGTTGACTATTCCTAGTTCTAGTCACTTTTCATCCTTGTCGCTGACATATGTCTGGACCCAATATCAAACCGAACCTTCTCTCATAGTTTACTGGATATCATCTTTCTCTTATTGCTGGTGCTTTGATATTTCATTATCTCGTTGGGTGTATCGACTTTCTAACTACCATTGAGAGTCTTTATTCGTCATACCCGTCCTTCAGCTATACCATTTTTCCTTTCTCGCTTTCTCGCTTTTTTTTATCTCTTTGCTTGTCCTCCTGGAGCTGGGGGCCCTCTAAGGAATTGACAGTTGAATCTATAAGACGCCTTGCACTCCGGTAGTGCCATCTACTTTCCCAGCTACTGTGTTGGGACACGGTTCACTTGATTGACACCTTTAGAAGTCGGACGGGAAGCGGTTAATTGGAAAAGGTGCTGCCTTTTCACCGTTGATATTGAGAGTCAAATATCACTTGTGATTTACACCCCAACTATTGTTTCAGTTTTGTTTAGGAGGATTCTAGTCGCAAGTGATCGTTTGAACACGGCACTTAAAGCGGCAGTGCACCTGGTTGCCGGATGCTCTTATCCGCCTAGGCTTCCCATATACTCGAAAGGAACGAAAAAGCTTTCTCATTGCGAATCGCGCATATGATTGCGTTACAAAACCAAGCTATCCTGCCTCCCGCCAAAGTGGATATCTCACTGCTGTTGAAGCCCCAAGATGAGGAGGCCGCCACACCGGTGACCACTACGTCCACCTTTCCACCAAACCCAATCCCTCCGGCTCCAATGGCTCCGGCAATTCCTGTTGTTGCCTCGGCATCGGTGCCTTCTATACCTCTCACAAAAGGCCCCTCATCGCTTCCTGCTAAGCGTCTTCAACCCGCTCATACAGCAGAATCCCCGGCGAAAAAGCAGTCAAAGTGGTCTCCTGAAGAGGACGCTTTGATCATCGAGTTACGTGGGAGTGGCATGAAGTGGGAGGACATTAGCAAACGACTTCCTGGACGAAGTGCTATTAGTTGCCGCCTTCATTATCAGAACTATCTAGAGCGCCGAAGTGAGTGGGATGAAGACAAGAAGAATAAACTCGCAAGATTATACGAAAGGCAAGTTGTACAGAGTCAATGATTGAAAGGTGGTAACATGGAGTTTGTTGCTAACTTTTATTGCAGATTCAAAGCAGATATGTGGTCCAAAGTAGCGGAAGAGATGGCAATCCCGTGGCGAGCTGCAGAAGCTATGCACTGGCAGCTAGGAGAGCAAGAAATGGCGCGCCGAGCTGGCGTAGTACCCTTTTCGTTATCAAGTTCAGCTATAGACCCGCCAACACCTCGGGCACGAAGAACTAGCACATCTTTATCTCGACCAAGAAAAGGATCGACATCACGCACAATTCCCCCACCACAGCTGCCCTCCGTCGAAGAGTTGACTGCAGGAGTTCCAGCATTTGCTCCGCCTCCACCATTTCCTCCCCCAAGGGAGGCATACCGAATAGGACGACCATTGGATCTGAGCGGCACCCACAGTAGCCATATGGGCCCCAATCTTGGCATTCCTCCTCGTACCCTTCCTTAGGGTCAAGAATCTCAAGCCTGTGCCTCTTTATCGCCTTATATTTATGCTTATTATTTTCTTTTCTTTTCTTTTGGTTCCGTGTTCCTTGCTGCATTCCAATTCTGTTGCGCGTTATAATGACTTGCATAGCGTTGGCTGAATATCTATCTTCGTCCATGGGAAGTATTCCCTCGATTGGCTCGGTTGATATGCACCTTTTCTTCAAAAATTCAAGAAAGCCCCGGGTTTGATGACAGTTTCTGCCTGTTTTATCTCTCTTTTGTTATAAATAGATGCCATGAAAGATCTCCGGAGCTGGATCTCGGAGCACGCGTTATTCCCATGTGTTACGGTGTTTTTGTCACTAGTCTCATCGTGTTGCGATTGCCCACCAATTGTCTTTTTCATAGCCAGATTCCAAAACACGGCCACCCGCATTGATTATGTCACGTTCTAACTCATTGGCCTCATAAAGATGGTAATATCGATGGAAAACTTTTGGTTGATCAGTTAGACCGTCCTTGGGGAAGTTGTTTGCCATAACCCATGGAACCATAACGTCCTGCTGGTCACCTTTATCCCAACCCCTGCGGCTGGTCTTCTGTTCGAGTGCCCATACATATAGCAGGACTTTCCCTCCAGGAGCCTCTGTCGTAGCAGGCTTCAATGTGCGCAGAATCTCACGGATAGCCTGGATTCTTCGATCCGGTGTTGACAGGTGGTGTATCACAGCTATCGATATTGCAAAGTCGAAAAAGGAATCTGGGTGTGGCAGGTTTAAGATATCCGCCACAATGGCCGAGTGTGGTTGGTGATTTACGGCAATTCGGGCAAGATTCTCGGATCTGGCATCATTTAGTCAATCACGGGATATATGAAATGGTTTATTCAAGAGTCCATGAATGAAAGCGAGACAATGGTAATTTTCCAAATTAAAATGAAAAAGCAAAATAGAGCAAAAAAAATAAATAGAATAAAAATCAAAAATAATGATTTAAGAACAAATTGATGGAAAAATTGATAAGAACAAATGCGAAATAAGATAAGTATACATAGAAAAGAAAGAAAAAGAAATAAAGAAACCATGCACAGATCATGAATGAATGTACTTACCGGTCTGAAGCAATAATAAAGACATTCGGGTTTACAGGTAAACATTTTCCGTTACCACATCCCACATCTAGTCCGATAGCTCCGGGTGTTAACTCTGTAAGGAACCGTTTCACGATTGGCCACGCCTGATAGATACGTCAACTCGCATGCCTTGGGCAGTAGAATGCCAAAAAATATGGTAGATATATACCTTGTAGCGAGTGGAGGAAAAATGACCTGCGATTTGTTGGTATACCTCATGGACATGCTTTTCTTCGTATGCCTCCTCTTGCAGCTTTTCAGTCACCAATGACTGCTGATCTGATGATGCCATTTCCGCTGTATTACCTTGTGATCTTACACTTGGTCTCTTTTTCATAGAGCTATGGCGTTCGGTACAGCGTAATCGTCAAAAGGTCTGGAGTGTGAGAGGGAAAGAAGGAGGAATCTAACAGCGTCAATCAGAATTGAAATCACTATCAAGAAACATGGTACAATACCATACACACCGTAATTAGATAGTTTCGAGCGCATGTCGTGAAATCAGTGCAAAGATTAAGGTTAACGGGTACTCACCATTCTTATGTAGCTCGGAGAATATTTAAATCAGCAGATCATACTTCTTATACTACTTAAATAGCATTTATTTTTCTTCACTCTTTTCGTTTTATGTCCTTATTAGTCTATCCAGGCCCAACATACTATTCCGTATTCCATCCAATATTAGCTCCATCTGCATACAACCGGATGATTACCTGACTAAGGAATGCCGCCGTATCTTACCTCAACCAATACACATCAATGACATGGATTAAGTAACCTAGGTTTGAGTCCGCATACTACCTCAGATACTTCCTACAACTATGAAACCTACGTTAAAGTAATGATTAGTATTTACCTATGTAAAAAGGAAAAAAATGACCACGAGCAATGCGTACACGGTTGGTTACTTGGTAGTTAGCTTACTAGCAGGAGGATTGCCTAATAAAGCCACGTGCCTCTGGACCCTGGGGTCTTATCGGTAGGTACGTACCGTGTACGGAGTACTCCGTACATCCCTCTTCGCACATGAAACGTTATCTGACGACTGGACTCTCCTACGCCAAAAAAGTAAAGCAACTCATTTGCACATTTAGATCCACTGTTTCTCGACTGAAGGCACACACACTCCAAGCGACTATGGCGTTCCAGCCCACTCCATCGGATGTTTCTGTCCTCATTACCACGCCTACAACAAGTGCCAATTCTGAGCCGCACTTCGTCACGGAGCGTCGAATCACCCCAACATGGACCGTTATGCAATTGAAGTCAAAGTTGGAAACGATGACAGGGATTCCTCCTAGTAGTCAACGCTTAAAATTGAAGACTCCAGGATGTCCTGACCAATGGGTTGACGGCGATGAGAACCTTATCGGTAATTGGGGGTTGAGAAAGGGCTGTGAAATTGAGGTACGATGTTCGAGATAGTTTGAGACTTATATGAGATTTTGCTAAAGTTAAACATCGAACCAGGTTCATGATTCACGCCCTTCTTCAGCACGGCCAAACTTTCATGATTTATCCTCTGTTGAAAAATACGTTCTTCCTGCAGCTACCTACGAGTCCCTACCAAATTCAGTATTGGCGTGGAAAAGGCACCAACAACTTGGTCGGTTTGACCCAAATGTACTATCACCGTATGAATCGGCACGCAAGCAAGCAGAAAAAGACGCCGAGGATATTGGGAGTCGAGGTAAGAAGCATAAACGGGAAACCAGTCAAGAGAGAAAGAAAATGAAAAAGTTCAAAAATTTAACTACCAGAATGCCGCTTTCTATAGGTATCGCGGTTTCCAGACGTGCGATTATTCTCCCGTCCTCTCCGCCACATATCCGACGAGGAATTATTCGCTTTGTTGGACCGGTGCCATCCATTCCCTATCCCGGGGTAGAAACCAGAGATGCTGATTCTAGTGCGCTGCCTATCTGGGTAGGAATCGAACTTGATGAGCCATCTGGTAAGAACGATGGTAGCGTGGGTGGAAAGCGCTATTTTACTTGCCCTAACAAGACTGGTATTTTTGTGAAACCCGAAAAGGTTGAGGTAGGAGAATTTCCGCCTTTGGGCCTAGATGAGCTAGAGGACGAGACAATGGAGGAGATATAATCTGGGTCATTATGACAATTGAGACGAGGCTTTTTGGGTTATACCGTATACATTTAATATCATTGAAAACGCGCCGGTGAAACACACGAACAGAGTTCGTGTTCACACATGTTGCTATCAGGAACTGAGAGACAACAGAAAGAACAAAGTGAGGAATACAAGAAACACCGACAGCCCAGTATTCATTCAAGAAGATCGCTAAGCCCAACAAGGTCCACGCCTATGACAGACACAAAAATGGGAAACAGATGGAAATAAAACGTCAATGCTACATTCACATGAAGTTGGGAGAAATTAAAGAAGAGGATAGGCAAGTGGCGTTGGTATCGTAAGGATAGTACCCATAAAGGCCTTAGAGCCTGTTCAAAGACAGTCACTATGATGCTTTAGAGCCACCTGCCTTCTGCTTCCCCTTGGGTCTACCTTTCCCGACACCAAGAGGACGTTCAAATTGAGGGGTTGGTTCTTCTTCCATAGTATCATTCTTGGAGGCAGACCCAGGAGCAGAATTGTTACCCTCCACAGGAACACAACCTTGCGTGAAGAACAGCCGGGCGTCCTTCCCATGTGTGTTTGCGAAGCTGTAATAATTGCCTGAAGTAAAGCACAGATGGTCAGACATCTCTTGAAAAGGTAGACTGGGAATATTTTGCCAAGCTCAACGTACCTCTTGGCACTTGGAATACACAGCCTTTTCCAGCGCTAAATTGTACACCGGATATGTCTACTTGTACTCGGCCGTGGCATACGTAGAAGACCATATGCATCTTCTTTGAGTTTTTTGGCTTCTTTACTCCACCGCTTGGCAATTCAACGATCCCGGAACCTAAGAAAGGAGAGCTAAGTAGTTTGGCAAACCGAAAAGTTGAACCTTTGACATCCCTCGTTTCAATACCGGAAGGCGCATATGCAATGTCTACATATCAGAGATCAGCACAATAAGCGACTGTATGGAGGCTTGAAAAGAAAACAAAACTAAAGAAAAAAAAATGTAGACTCCACTCACCGAGGACCTCTTCCTCGTCTATCCCAGCCTGGGCGTCGGATCCCACTTCCTAATGTAACCGTGCAAAATCCCTTCCTTCTCCCAAGGGTCAATATAATCTTCATCATCTTCCGAGTTATTGTCATCCTTAGGTTTCCCAGACTTTGACTTTTTAGAAGGTCTGCCCTTCTTTGGCTTCCGTCTTTCCGGTTCGAGTTCTTCCGTACGTATAATCTCCTTGATGGTAGAGAGAGGGTAGCGTTCTCCCTCGGCAGCCTCGCCATCACCATAGACACATCGTTCGTTTTTCCAATAGGCAAGAGGTCTGACAGACACTCGCCCTGACCGAGTGTGTGTAGTGCTGCTATCCGTTGGGGTCTCCCGTTTGAGAATATATAAGCTTCGCCCCTTTAAAGGCCCCGTGCGGTTGACGTGATCCTCAACAACCCTATCCAAATCGGGATGGCCTGACGTTTTTGGTTCTCTAGTCTCTTTGTCGGAGGCCTTAAACTTCTTTGACAGCCTCGGTTCCTCTGTATCGTGGCTGATGCTGCGCTGATTCTTCGCGGGCCTTCCGGGGCGTTTACGTTTCTGAGAGGATCCATGCTCCTGTGGCTCATCCAGCTCCACGGGGAGTTGAGTCCGACTTGATCCACTTCGGGCTCTCTTCTTGGGTTGATGACCGATCTTTATCTGGCCTTTTTTCTGAAGACCGACGGCCAATATTGATGGAGACGGTGTTGCGGTGCTATTTTCATCTGGCTCCTCCGCTTCATCTAGCATCGTATCATTGCCAGCATCGAAGCTGTCAGCGAAGTCATCCCGTATATGCTCGAAACTGTTTGCATTTTCATCCGCGTTGGATTGGCTGTTCGCATCGCTGTCCGAAAATGAAGCTGCTACTTCCTGTGTCTTCTTGTTTGCCTTAATGCGGGCGCTGCTCAAATGATTCAGGGGAGGCGCATTTATAGAACGGTGAGTCAGAGGAGAAACATCTTGTCGCAACTCCCCTTTCGTATGACCCAAGCCTTTACCATCGGAAGGACTAGAGGAGAGGGGTTCCCGTTGTGGGCTTTGCGATGATCGTAAACCGGGGGTTCTCCGAGGGGACCCAGTCAAGCCAGTCTTCATAGGAGAACGTGCAACAGGTGGTGGGAAATAAGAGTTTCGCCCACCATTCATACCACTAAGGAAATCAGCAGGACCAGGTGCGTTCCCTAGTCACCCGCGTTTAGAAATTAATATCATAACCCGTACATTAAAGACCGTTTGTACGTACCCTCGTCCATAGACATGCCATCGGAGCCTACCGAAGATTCATTCCCATCGCTAAAGCCATTTTCTCTTACGGGAGATCTCTCTGGCGATGACCACATCCCATCAATGTCCTCCATTCCATGTTCATCGCGCTTGCCCTCCTTCACTGTAATCCCTGTACGACTGTATCCATTGTCTTCGTTAGTCCTCTTTACAGCAGTAAGAGAACATCGAAGTGGGATGTTCAGCGGAGAATGCTCACCGTCCAAGTTTACCGACATTGGAATAATCATAATCGCGAGCTTTCGCGGACCCCCGAGGAGCCATCCTTGTGGAGTTCCGGAAGTGAAATGCGGGAAGGTAGCTAGCTGTATGGGAAAAGTTACGAGTAGGACACACGCGCACACACGCGCACACTGTATCCTAAACTGCTTTAGCTGAAAACACCTTTGTATCACGCACTCTTTTAATGAAAAAAAAGAAAAGAAAAAAGAAAAAAAGCAAACCCCGTAAGCAATAAGCACAAATTTCAATTGGGAGAAGGCGGAAAGCTAGTGAAGCGCTGTGGAGGGGAGTTGGAGATAGGCGGCGACACGCGCGGAAGCGCCGCTAGTCCGGAATGGTTGGGGACGCGTCTAGAGCACACAATCTTCATAGCTTACAACAAGTTGTGTCCTTCACCTCCATAGAATCATTTCCATCTTTGTTTATAGCTCTTTATCCCAAGCCAACAGTATTTGAAGAAATCTGGTATGGAAGAACCAACTCAGCATCCCTCGTTCAACTCTCAAGGGACGCTCACTTCTACGGGCCTTTTCGTCCCTCCCAGTATAAATCGCCCACGGTTGTATGCGGGAGATTCTTATTCCTACTATTCGCCATGCCCCGCCACAATTTCAGCTCGCCAACCGAGTTCAGATGCTTCCAAAGCTGACGAGATGACCATAGATGATCTCACCCCAACTGAAAGCTACCCGAAGAGCTATTTTGTTTTGGGTGTTGACGAGGCAGGCCGTGGGCCAGTTTTGGGTCCTATGGTATACAGTGCTTTCTACTTGCCGCATGACCTTCACCACTCCCTCCTTGCGCACGATTACAGCTTCAATGACAGCAAGGTTCTAACACCTGGTGTACGCGCTAATCTAATGCGGCTGCTCTGCACCCCCGGGACACCCCTGTTCAAGTCATGTGGATGGGCAACTAAGCTTTTATCTGCAAGAGATATTTCGTCGGGTATGTTGCGCCCCGGCGCGGGTATCTATAACTTGAATGCGCAAGCCATGGACGCTACTGTGGAACTCATCCGAGAGATCGTGGAGGGCCGCAGAATTGACATTAGAGAGGTGTATATTGACACAATTGGAAACCCGGCCACCTATCAGCAGAAGTTAGAGCGGATCTTTCCGTCACTAAAAATTACAGTGGCCAAAAAAGCCGACTCTTTGTACCCTTGTGTTAGTGCTGCGAGTGTTGCTGCTAAAGTGACCCGAGATGTGGCCTTGGAACTTTGCCATAAAGATATAGTGGAGGCCCAACAGTTCGATGACCCTTCACAAGCAACTTCTACCGACAGTTGGGGGAGTGGCTATCCCTCGGATTCGAAGTGCGTAACCTGGCTCCGAAGACACATGGATCCCATATTCGGGTGGGGTAATGAATGTCGATTCAGCTGGGGCACTTCAAAAGAAATGCTTGAGATGAGGGGGGGGTAAAGGTGGACTGGCCCCTAGATGATGAAAACACACAACTTCGAGATTTCCTCTTCACGTCTTCTGAAGCTCCTAAGGGAACCAATCAAGAGTTGCGAGATTGGTTTGGGCAGAAGACAGCAGAGGTTATTTAAACAGAAATGACACCCCTCTGATATGGAATCGTGATAGCGACTTGTGATACCCCAATATGTATAAATATAGAACGCTAACTATACAACATGGTGGCGAAAGTATCAAACAATATTAGATAACGACAAAATCAAATCAAATCAATTAGAATTAAGTAGAATAAATGAAGGAAGAAAAATAGTTAGAGAGAATATGCCAATCAATGAACGAAGAGAGACAAGAATGCCAGGATCCATTGGGTATCAAATCAGTTTCACTCATTTCAAACATCCTAGTTCGAGTCGACGGGGGTATCGTCGTAGATTTATTTCAGCAGACCGGGGGGGACGAGATTTTTCAGCTCATAAAGTTGCTGTTGAAAAGTAGTAATTGTCCCACAGGTATTCGTAATCTTCGACCACACTGCCTACCAAGTCAAGCAGTGGTTTACCTTTCATCTTCCTAGTTAACCCTTTCAACCATGGTCTGGATAGTGTTAGCATAATAATGACTTTGATCGGTGATAGTAATAAGCGTTCATACTTGGTTAAGTTTTCATAAAGAGCGCCCCTCATGAGCCACCACCCCATAGCCCATCCTCTCTTTCTCAATTCCTCGCGCTCCAGGCCTGTTAGTCCCCGGAGGCCACCAGCAAGTCTTTCCCTAAAATCGGTCTTGGCAAGTTGTCGACAGCCGTACTCCATACCAAACCCAATGAGCCAAGGCTCCAACTTCGTTTGTTGCCATTCCATTTTTGCATCGCTAGTGCATAGGCTACAGGCCGCAAAATGTACAATATTTCTGCCAGCTGACCTTGACCTGTGACTCGGTGCAAAAGGGCCTTGGGCGGCTTGATGTCATCAGCAGTGAGCACCTTTGATATTAAAAAATTTGAGACGTCGTTCACATCCGGAAGGCAAGGAAGCGATAATCCCGTACGAGGCATAGTCCAGCTCAGGTCTGAAGACCGCTCGCTTACTGGTGTTTGCATCCCGTTCCAATCGCGTTCCTCTTCTTCTGCAGATCTCGGGTCGACGTCGCGCTCTGGTAAGGGAGGGCTGACTAGCGGCCTCGAGTTTGTGAGATGTAGCAGAAACAAACGACATATTGCCTTGATAGCTTCGATGAGAATAACGACTCGCCAGCGAACTTTTTCACCTCGACGCCGCGCGATCATTTCCCAGAGTAGTTCTGTGTACTGAACCATTTGAAGAGTGATAGCGACCTTACGGTAAAGTGAGGAGTGGGCCGTCCAGTACTTTGTATACCGGGAATGCGGTGTGGGCGCCGGTCGAGAGATGGTCGATGGAAGTCTAGAGATGACTCGAGAAACAAGGGAATCATGATACAGCGAAAGGAGTTGTACGGAAGAATGTACTGGATGAACTATGTTAGACATCTAGCAGGTGTTCGAAGCTGGCAGTGTATATACCGCATTCTGACGAGATCTCCGAGTCTCTGTATCGTCCTGCGTCGTACGTAGGCATTAGCTTTCGTCGTCTGTATATGCATGGTTAGATTACTAAAACGAACCTGGGATTATGTATGTGAGAGACCTCAACGCCGACTCTACTTGACCTACAGAGCTAGCGTTCTTAGTCACGAAGTCCTCGTACAATGGTAGCCATTTAGATGGTCTCAAAAGTGTCGAGGGGACCGATCCTCTATGGCTTTGCGTTGGATCCATAATAAAAAAGAATGTATTTTTTTGTAGTAATCGAATCCCTATTAGGCTTAGGAAGAAGGGAAAAGTAACAATGTATGGGGATGAAGCTGAGCAAAGCAACAAGGATAGAGATATGGTCAACACGTGCTCTCCGCGCCAAGGGCCATGTGCCGAGGTCCCGTTCGGACAATCTACGGAGACTCCATTTGCTGAAATTGGGAAGAGGCGAGAAGGGATATCTTGTTCTCTTTAGTATGCACTCAACATATTCCACCATGATTCCTTGTTACATCCTGGCCAGCATGTTTTCCACTGGAAAAATTCTATATTCGAACACCGACAAGGTATATTTACTAGTATTACTCAGTAGGCCTACAGACGTGGTTAGGACAAAGTTGACTATTTAAAGCCTCAGGCCATTGATATTCTCTTAAAATTAGAGTCATAGTTCTAATCTCAAGAACCATAGTAGAGCTCAAAAATCTATTGGCTCCATACCAATCACGACTAAAACGCCTCGTTCAGGACCTTGCTCCCATAGACTCACTCATCCGCGTATTTCCAAAGGCCACCTGGGCGCATTGCTTCTCTATATCGTTCTTTTACCTTGTCTCTCTCAAGCCTTCTTGCCTCCTCACGATCAAAATCTAGTTCTTGTGTATCAGGCATATCCGTGCGCCAAAACCCTGGCGGTGTAGCCGCACGTTGATGATGATTTCTGTGTTTCCCAAAACAATCGGCGATCAGCCTTGCTTTTGCCTCATCAAGGAGCCTCTGACGGTCCATTTCACCAAGTTCATCAAGCAAATATTTATCTTCTCCCAAGTAGTCTTCTAGGATTTTCTGGTCATCTTCTTGACAAGAGACTGTAGGGTCGGTTCGTAGACCAGCAAGGCGTGCCATGGCTAAGAATTTGTCTCCACAGCAATCAGGGCGCGTGCATCCCCTGATGCACTTGCGTTCTTTTTTCTTGCGGATAACAGTGTCAAATGCAAACCCGAGTCCTTCGTTATAGTCAGGGTTTATCCTGAAATGACTAAGCTCGAGCCGGTGCAGTGGCAGAGATCGGTAAGATTCATCCTCTGGATGCATTTCGATGGAATTAGATTTAGCTCGCTCGGAGAGGTGGACATTAGTCGGCTGATTGTTAGCTTGTGAAGAATCCAATACTGCCGTTGTATCAGTAGGTAAACGTGTGTTATTTCCAGATGCTTCGTGATCAGCTCGAAATTCGTGCTGGTTGTGCCTTGTATCCTTCACGTTACCGTTGCCCTTCGGTGACTGCAACAGTGACCTAGGCGGCAGCGGTTTCTCTAACAAGTCCTGCAAACGGTGTGATACACCTTTGGAACTTAAAGTTGCTGATAGGTAGCTGAAATCAGCGTTCCGCGGTGTCCTTCCTGCATGTGATATGGGATACACCTGTTCACCATCCTCTGCTATGCACGATATAGCATGGCTGGCTGCCCTTGGGACTACATCTGGCTTCTTTTCTGAACATTGACCAGAACCATGAAGAAGGCTGGCATTTTCATCCACTGATTGGAGTGCTGTGGATCCATTAAGAAGCCTGTGGCCTGATGCGAGTCGGTAATTGTCCTGAGGCGTTGATTTTTGGACGGATGGCGAATGAATAATGGCCAAAGGGTCAGTTTCGATGACCATTTCTTTTGTCGGTGTCTCGACTGTGTCGCCAACTTCATCCAAATCTTGGGTTTCAATTGTTTCAATATGCTGGCAATCGTTTCGCACGGGACTAAAGGACATGCTTTTGCTTTTTATAGAAATGGGTGGTTTCAATTCCCTTTCCCCCAAGCCACTATGATGGGCCAATGCCCCAGATTCGGATAGAACCCCGCGTTTCCTCTTCAATCCCCGGTGTCTCCGCCTCACCGATGTATCGATATCTTCGTTCTCCAAAGGAGGACCAGACTGTGTCAAAAGTACTTCTTGAGATTCACTCTGCAAGGGCAGTCCAAAGTTGTTCTCTGCTCTTCTATGTTCGCCGCAAACGACGGACGTACAAACTTCACCCAACTCAGGCCTAAGTAAACTCCGTAGCCCATTAGCCCCATCTGCTGCAATATGACTAACCGGCACTAGCATGCCATTTGCAGGTATCGATTCTACTGTTGGAGAGCCATCCTGGTCGTCGTCTGCAATGTTCTTCACACGTTGAAATTTGACATCGACGCCATTTAGCATCAATGTAAACTCATCTCGCTCGAGGCATTTGCCCCAGTGTTCCAGCTTTCTCTTATGCCGCTTGATCTGTTGTCTGAGACCCTTACAGGCCTTTACAAGCGTTTGTGCATCTCCATATAAGGCGGTATATTTTCCATTGATAATTCTCATCTCTTTCGTACCATGTTCCCACGACAAGAGATTGTTGTCGTCACATAAACTCAAAATACGCTGCGGCGCGTATGCTGCCTCCAATTGAGACTCGCTCACAGAGACTTCAGCATCATCTAAGCTAAAGTCATTACGATTTATCACTTCTCGCAAATGGGTAATCTCAACATTCAACCTCTCGATCTCGGCCGCGGCTTTAAGTTGGGCAGACTCTGTAACCCTGAGTTTCTCTTCTGTCGCAGCAACTTTTCTGTCATGAATGGTAAGCACAGCTCCCAAATCGTTATATGCATTATCGAAGGATTTCTCGAAGTTCTGGGCCACAGAGGCATGAAGTTGCTTTAGAACATCCATGGAAAATGAGAGTGGACCATGTAAGGTTATGGGTATAGCCCAAGGAGTGTCGGGAACGCGACGTCCAAGGCCTTACATCATACCCGTGACCCTAGGCGGGATTTGGTCCCAGTTATCAATTTAGATAAGCGTTCTTATCGAAACTTCCCAGGGGTCTTTCATTTCCTAAGTCCTTACATATCCTTTAGGTTATTCTTATATAAAAGAAAGCTACCAGCAGCATGTTGAAAATACGTGATGACAGTGATACCATGACCTATCCGTCGCCAAAACGGCGGCGTATATCCCAAGCCTATAATAGCGACTACCTCTCATTCTTAAGCGATGAAATTTTATTGCATATCCTATCTTATCTACCCATGCCCGCTTTGCTAATATGTCAAAGGTATGCTTGCTCTAGGGACCCAAGCTGACAGAAAGCTGACCCACTCCTTTCTCCTTAGAGTGTCCCGTCGATTCCACGCTTTAGCCGGAGACTCGGAGCTATGGAAGCGACAATATTATACTCGATGGGTACGACCTCGAGCACGTCGCTTAGCGAGAATGAGACGTGCCATCTCAAGGCCTGAATACTCGCCCAAAGTATCTACATGGCTCGACCACGGTCATCTAGCGGGACAAGGCAGCGGCGCAAATTGGAAAAACAATATCGCCTTAGACACAACTGGTCCAAGGGGATATGCCGTGTAACCGCAGTTGAGTTGCCTCAATCTCTACAACCACCAATTCTGGTACAATTTTGTGCCGGGCTTGTGTTTATAGCAGATTCCGATCATGGGCTTAGGGTTTGGCACGCGGACAATACAAACTCTTGCTTAGCAAGTATGCCTTTTACAAACGTCAAAACACAAGCACCTATAGTACCCACGTCATTAAAAGCAACTTATTGTCCACAGCAATATGTGACCAGAGTTGCTGTCGGATTTAAAAGCGGTTGTTTTAGTGTGTATAACATGGACATTAGAACCTTACGATTGGAGTTGGGATTCACTTACACTAGTTCCACTGATCGGGCAATAACAGGGATGGCTCTGTCATTCCCTTATATTTTAACAGTGTCCCAATGCAATGTGCTATCGTTATTTAGTATTCGAGCTGTCAATGAGAACGTGGGCCACAGTCCCGTCGAAAAGATAGAGAAGCCCCACCTCCTTGCAACACTCAAAGCCGAGAGCATATTGGCGCCCATGTCATTGTCTGTGCGTGTCGCAGGCTCGGAAATCATATCTTCTATAGTATACAGCTTTTACCACATTGGCTGTGGCTGGTCAATAGGTTTACAAGAACTACATTTCAACAAAAGTGGCCAGCAGATCAACTCACGGCTCACAACCACGGTGGATTGCCAATATGGTGTGACAGCGTTACGTCCATCTAGCCGGGTACCAGAAGAGCCACAGTCTTTACTGAGCAGTGACCTGTACGGGTGGCCTACTGAACCATCGATCTTACATCGAGAACCTCCAACTTCGATCTCCTATTCGCACCCATACCTCTTGACTTCTCACGCAGACAACACGTTGACTGTGTACCTCGTTGTTTCTACAACAACAAGTCTTTATGTCAAAGGCGGCCAGAGACTCTGGGGCCACACCACATCAGTTGCAGCCGCACAAGTAGGTGATCATGGTAAAGCAGTGTCTGTTAGCTCACGTGGTGATGAAATTCGAATATGGGAACTCGAGCCTTTGATCTCTTATTTTGGGACGCAGAGAATGTTAGAGGAAAAGAGTATACAAGTTAGCCCTGAGAACAAGCAATGTCAGAAGTATGACAACTTCGGCGTATTGTCAGGAGTCTCTCGCTGCGAAGTCAATGATGATCAATCTTCTTCTCTGGAAAGATCTTACGAATTGGACCGGATACGAGGTTGCGTTGGGTTCGATGATGAGCGTGTGCTTCTGCTTCGGGAACGGAATATCGGAAACCAGCTACTAGAATTATATGACTTCACATGAATCTCGTATCTGCTGGGTAGAGAAAAGGAACAGGACGGTTGGCACCAGCTCAAACAGAAAAAATCAAAAAGAGATTTCCTCTGGTTTAAACCAAACTTTTAGAATACTCTGGAGTATCTAAAGCAGAATGTTGGGCTGTAAACCAATCCCAATGTGTTCAACCTGAGGACCTTGGGAAGCTGTAGTTAATATTTAACTGCAAGAGTTACTCAGATTAACTGGGGCCTCTGCCTTATAGCTGCCCCCAAGAACATCAGGAAACCTTCCTCGCTCTGGCTACATGTTATGGATATTAAACCACTCCGGTGACCTAAGCTGGTCTTTCCCATTGCATTGCATCCCTCCGAAACCTCCTCACTCCAGAACGGCCTTCGCTCAGCCATTCTTTGCTTCTCAGACGATTGAACAATTTACGGCGAATAATGAATGTTAAGTGAATTGCAGCCATAAGGTCGTTAAAATTATTCCTTGGCCTTGTCTCAAGTCTGGCGGGATTTTTGAGATCCTCAGATGAAAAGCGCCAGTTGCTTTCAGTGAAATACAACACGCTGACTTAGTCTCGTTTAAATTCAGTTGATTTCTTTCTGCTTCTTATCTTCATTTTCGGGAATAAAACAAACGAGGGCGAAGGTGGGGAAGGATAATAACGAAAAATCAGAAGGGTAAGGAAGGTTAATTGCTGGAGTTAAGTACCACACAATTGCAGTCTAACTAAAAAGAAGGGAGCTCTGCAGGAACCGCACGGCAAGCGAATTTAATTTATTTATCAAATTAAATTCACTTTCTCGTCCCCGCGCACCGCCTTGGACATATTATCTGCATTAAATTTCTCATCAATCAATCGATCTCCACCATTATCATTGTGGTTTCTTTTTTCTAAAGAAAAAAAATCTTGATCATTCCACAACAGCTTCGCTACCATTCAATCTACTCAGAATATCTGCTATATTCAATCAATATGAGTTTCCAAACCGGAGGTCGTGGATGTTTTAACTGTGAGTTCTTACTACTGTAGCGGCCTCGATTTCCTGGCGGTCGCTACAATTTTGATGTCTAGCTTTTGTGCCCTCGCCTTGCGATTCGAGCCAGAAGGTTTCCCTCCCTTCACACTGCATGTCTTGCTTGGTTTTCATTTTACTCGGGCTAGCGCCTGTTTGATATTTCCTCACCCAAGAGGAAAAGGCCTCAAGATGGTCGTCTAAGTGCGGAACTAACAGAAAACCGGTGCCTACCTTTTTTTTTAAGCCACTAAGAAATTGAACTAACATCTTCTATACCATAGGTGGCGATGCTTCCCATCAGGTAATTTCTCCCCAGATCACCAGTGCAGAGGGCATTGATTATGTATTTTTCAATACACTTTTCATCAAACCATAATCTCACGGACCCGGACTTTTAGGCCCGTGACTGTCCTAAGAAGGGTACCCCAACTTGGTATAGTATACTCCTCATTACTCGAACTATAGTTTACATTTACTAATGGAATAATCAAAGTTACAACTGTGGTGGTATGTCATACTCTGCTTGCTTTTACTTTACTTGCACCTCGTTAGCGAGTTTCACAACCCCAACACCCTTCCTCGTCGTAATATTCCTTGGGTCTTGTCTAACGGATTGAAAATCGATTGCAGGACAGGGACATGTTAGTAAGTGGATACCATGGGAATCTACTGCACAACAATAAGCGCAGCTTATCTGACGACAACCCCTCTGCTAGGCCGTGAATGCACAGTAGCGCCTAAGGAGAAGTCCTGCTACCGTTGCAGTGGTGTTGGCCATATCTCTCGTGAATGTCCCCAGGCAGCCTCGGGAGATAGCTACAGTGGTGCTACCGGTGGTCAGGAATGTTATAAGTGCGGCCGTGTAGGCCACATTGCAAGGAACTGCTCTCAGGGTGGTGGTGGATATGGTGGCCGTCAACAGACTTGCTACTCTTGCGGTGGCTTCGGTCACATGGCTCGTGACTGCACCCACGGTCAGAAATGTTACAACTGTAAGCCTTCCCTGCAATGTGCAATATACCACATCTACACCAGTGGTAGGACTTGTGCATTCTAGTCTGCATTTTGGAATTCTTACACTTCTTCCTTTCTTCGTTGTCCATCGTGCACATGTGTACTGACCACTCAAATGTAGGTGGAGAAGTTGGACATGTCTCGCGTGATTGTCCCACTGAAGCCAAGGGTGAACGGGTTTGCTATAATTGCAAGCAGCCAGGCCACGTTCAAGCTGCCTGTCCTAACTAGGCCAGAAAGTACTTTGGGTCGTTCGTCTAATTTGTCGCGCCTGTATATACACGAGACGAGGCTTTGGAGGCGTTCTCATGGACTGAACCAGTACTCTTCAAACCACTCGAACTCTCATATTTCTGCTTTCTCGTGTAGCCAGATCAAACCTGGCTCATAACCCTGATCTTGGTGGGGTTTGCCCGTCCCTACCATGAACATGATATTCATGAATACTCGCGTGCCAAGACATTGTATCCGTGATATTTGCCTTCTATTTCTCAAACGTGGGCAGCAATTACGTCGGTAATAATATGGCAGGTGGTCTAGGTTGCAGGACGACAAACATGATAGGGCTCTTTGTGTGTAATGCGGATGACTGCAAGAAAAATAAATCCATTCACTCGATGTCTCAACTACTGAGAGTATTCTTGACTTCCTGGATCTTCTCTAGGCTTTTGCGTAAGTGTAGGTTTCTCTAAAGTGTGTATGAGTTGCCCCACAATTCGGGGACTGAAATCCTTGTCGGCTGTAGTCGACGACGTGAGTCCGAACGCAAGGCGTTTTGGCATGCAATACACTGTTGCCTACACTTTGGACACCGCTATCGGAGTATATACAAATATACAGTTGGCAGAAGGGCAGAAGGGCAGAAAATATAATTGAATGGCCGTTGACTTAAAATGCTTAAGAGCTGCAGCTGCACATCATGGCCCGCTTGTATCGAGGAACATCTCCACAGAAGCGCTCCTCCTCTTCCTTGTTCCAGCCCCAATCGTCTTTGAATGGGTTTAGAGCCATTTGCATCACGTGGCCAAGGATCTCCCGATCTCCCTTACGTTCTACTCGATCAATAACCTCGTCGAGTATCCACCCGCGAGGCAAGAACTAGTCAATTTGCACCGTTAGAGAGGTAAATTTTCGAGGGACTAGAAGACCTACCTTTGGGTTCACTGTTTTCATAGCCTTCTGTCGCTCCATATCACCATAGGGCCCCCAATCCTCAAGAATCCTCAGTCTCCAGCGCTCGAGCCAATTTGCGATGCGCTCCTTTGCAGAGTTTTCTGTGTACCCGACCCCGCCAAACCCTTCGTTGTGGAAAAACACTGGTGCAACTTCTTTCCGTTTTTCTTCGGTATCGAGGGCGCTGAGCGGTATATGAGAAAGCCGCAGGAAGAAATGGTTGAAGTCCAGTTCTAAAGCTTCCAACGTGTCTAGCATTTCTGAAAAGAGGTCCTGAAAATCTGACTCTTTCTGAGTCTTTAGCCCTAGTCTTCCACCCATCATCCGCTTGTATTCATTCAAGAATATAGCCTTGAACTCTTCACCGGTTCTTTCAATAATTTCTTCTGCGAGCTTGACCATAGCGGGGGCAGCATCTTCGGTTACGCCTTCTTTCCAAAAGCTCTCTTCATCAACTTTGGCTCCTGCCCCAATGAGCTCTCCTAAGGATTCTCCAAGTCTGACCAAGTTCCACCAAATAATAGTTGGCTGGTTTTTGTACGAGTACCTTAACAAATGGTCATCGTGGTTCGGTGTGTATTGAGGATCAAAGTTGTCCATAAAAGCGAACGGGCCGTAATCAAGAGACAACCCATAGATTGATGTGTTGTCGGTGTTCAATACGCCATTCATGAAGCCATAAGATTGCCAGGCAGCCACAGTCTTGGCATTTCGTCGTGCGACCTCTCTGTACAGCCTTGCAAACCGGTTCTCTTCGACTCCTTCGTTTTTTTGAACTAGGTTCCACGGTACGCCTCTTGCTGGATTATAAATCGCATCGGTGGGCTGATCTTTACCTAGAGGCACCGCAGCCGGTAGAGATTCCCAGCCGTGAAATACATCTTCGGCTACATATGTAGCTAGTCTTCTGATTAGATCTCTGTCCCCGCGTGCGCGGAGAAGGTCAAAAGTTCCTATTCTCAGCCAGGATTCGGCAAACCGGGCCACTATAGCTCCAGGTTCAATACGCTCGCGTAAAATCTTAGACTCGGGTAGTAGAGTGATTGACAAGGCTCTGGTAGTTGGTATACCAAGCGCGGAAAGCGCTATGTTCATAGTTAGCGAGACGGATAGTAGTTCGCAGCTGCCGGTTTGTTACCTTCCGACACGACATACTCGCGGATGCTAGATCGAAGGACTGATTTTCCGTCTGCAAAGCGTGAATAGGGTGTCTTCCCAGCTCCTTTGAGCTGCAATTCGTATCGGACACACGTATTGGGGTTTGTGCTCTCGAATAGGCTGATAGCACGCTGCTTGAGGTCAATCCAGGTCAGAAGTAAGGCCAGACAACAAAGCTTACCCCATCTCCAAGCTGCCCAGCCCATGAGCCGCTGTATTCTGTCAACTTCCGCATCGTGTATAGGTTCAAAGACAACGTACAATTGCCACCCTTCGCATCGTTAACTAACCGCGGCCAGCGAATAACCCTATTGAAAGGTTTACATTACCTCCATAGCATTGCGCCCATGGGTAAATGCCTCCATTCTCTTTAGTCCAAAAAAAGTGATTCCCAGACACTACCGCTGTAAACTGAGGAGTAAGCTCTTCTCCTGGCAGTAATCCCAAGTCTGCCATTGCTTTTGGGCTGACGCCTAAAAGCTCTGCTTTCTTGGCTGGCTCGGGGCGAACAAAAGTATATAGGGCGCCTTTCACCAAGCGCGGACCGAGAGCTTCCCTCGGAGCTCCATGAGAGATCTCGGGAGTCTCAAAAGCAGGGTCTGGTGGCAGTTTGGCTGTAAAAGTATTGGACTTTGGAAGCTCCTCCAACGAAAGCCCCTTTGCAGGGTCTGAGAGTTGCGTAATCATCTGATCCAATCGATTCCGGACAGTTTGTGCCTTATGCAGATTATTGCAAAGAGACATATAATTTCGATGGTGGCTTAGGAAGATACGTGGCGTAGCAAGAACCATGAGGACCTCTCACAGGGCAAGGGCCGAAACAACGTGAAGGAGGGGGAAACTCGCCTAATGTGACAGCCAGGTCGTAATGACTACAGGGAATATATTATTCGCTCTTCTGTGCGGTATGGTCGCGGAGAAGACGGGTATCGGAATTCAATCGTAAGCTAAAAGAGACGGTGACATCATTTGCGTTCCGAAACTACGAAGTTTCCTAGTATACGGCGTACTACAGCGCTTATTGGCAGTCCTGTATATGCCAGAGTCCAGGAGAATGGTAAATAACTATGAAACCGATGAAACCGACTAGCTATAAAAATGAATGATTTGGTTTTCTTTGCAAAGCTGGTGCCCCTCAAAGATGGAAGAGGTTTCCTTTTCTACCATCTACTGTAATTGCAACCCGTTAGGTTTTATTGGCTAGCACACCATCAAACTTCCTACTAACTGCTAGTGGACTCATGGAGGTCTTGTTTCTCTTTTGGAATCTGTCTAGTGAACTGTTTCCTGGCTTCGTAACTCAATCCTTGATGATATCCCCCAATTGCCCATAGCTGGTTTATGGCATACTCCGAAGTAGGCACTCTATGGTGGTGGAACTCGCAATATCAACTGTGAACTCGTTCAATCAAGTCTGCCGTCAAACTTGAATACTGCCATTTTAATGGAGTTGGGATATATGCTACAGAGCCCGAAAGTTAGCCTTGCTATCACAGGAGGCGGTGTAGAATGAGAGAATCTGTTCGTGCTGACCAATGTCATAGTTCATATTGCACATACCCAAAGAGTGGTCAACGCAAGCCTGGAAAAGCTCCAAGTGGGCCATTACCAGTCTATAGGCATTCATTCTATCGAGGCTTTTGACAGGTGCCTCTTGCATTTTTCTTCCTTGGCCAAAGCTAACAATGGCCTACAGGGGCTATGATGGTAAAGGTGAAAGCCGCAGGGAAGGAAGGCCCATTGGATAGGAATGTCTACTTCTTGCAACCTTACCTTAATGGCATGTAGGAAATGGCTAAAATTATACCCTCCAACCTAACTAATTCAATAAGTATCCGTACCTTCAATATGGCAACCTTGTCCCGTTGCGAGAACGCAGGGAATACGAACGAGTTATGGACCCCTGACCTCCATCATTCAGGAAAAAGTTGTCCATTCGATCAGTTTAGGCATTGTCCAGCTTGGCTAAAAAGGGTATACTGAAATGGTCCGAAGATCGTGGTAATGTCTCCAACACAACAAGGAGCGAAGAGCTGTCTCACCAGCTATCCGTGTGCTCTGATCTCCCAGCCAAGCCTGGGAGGTAGACGATACCCCTTGTTCCAGATGCCAAAGCTTTCTGGGAAGATAAATCTTTGGTTGGTAGTTGGCCATAACTAAAAACCAGCATTCAGTACTCCAGCAACTAGTCACTCAAAGATGTGGTGCTGTGCTGCGTGCAATTTGTGCTTTATTCAGCAAACAAGCAGAAAGCGGAAGAAAGAACCTCGGGTGCCTCTTCACATTTTCCCCCACATTCAAATACCGACGTGGACTCAAAGATATTAGCTGGGTAATAAATCCAATAGATAGCTTTGGCAGTCACAGTGAGCACATTATAATTTTAAACATATAGGAAGTATGGGTTCCTGTATGTACCCAGGTCAGGCATACTCTCGAGTCTCGAGAACATACTAGATAGAAGAAGTAAGGTGCTGATAGTGAGTGTGTTTCCTGCCAAGCGTCTCCGCTTCGGCTCCAGTCCGAATGGACCTTCCTTAACAATTACAATCATCTTCATGAGGAAGTGCTGCTCTCTATATTTCTATCCACACTTGTCGTCGGCCACCCGCCCCCTTTTTGATTTTCATCTTCTCATCCTCTCTTTTGCCTCTATTCTTCACCTCATTCATTATATCTCATTCGGGTGCCAACGTATAGTCTTCGTCCAGCGAAGGGAACGGCCTTCGTCCATATGGCCTCGTTCTGGCATCGGTCTGTCAATTATCAGTTCTCTTTCTCGTGAAGACCAAGAGCTCAGCAACTACCTGTCTTCAGCCGGAAAGGCTCCACTCATTGTATACATACAGAAATAAAAAGTGATATTGGCACGGTTGCCTTGGACTGTACGCTCCGAAGATCACCCTTGCTTGTTTTGTGTGGTTGATTGACTTCGGCGAACGCTTGTTCAGTTGCCAAGGTTTCCTTGGAAGGCCCAAGCGGTGTGACAGAGCTCGAGAGCAAGCGAGGCGGAGCTGTTTCGATCTCATGTCTGTACGTATACAAGTTTGTTGATTACTAACCCTATAGAGAGAACACGGGTTTAGCTGATTGACAAGGCGACCGTTGTGATGCTCTTGCCTACTTCTTTCACGTCGGATTATCGTATACCGAAACCGCATGAGCTCCAGTGACTTGGACTTGAAGACGGACGTGACGGGATAGCATATTCAAACATCAGACTACCGCAAAATCATCTTAAATACGGTTGTCAAGAATTCATCCTCGTTCTGTCAACAGAGTGCAATGTCGGTGAACCGGCCCTCTCGCGCCACGGACGATGATATAAAAATCACCAAGCTTCCCAGTGAACGGGCATATACATCGGAACAGCATCCGATCGATCGGCGACTGAAACATCTTAAGGAAGACGTTCTTCCTCTTTATCCTTTTCTCCTAACTGTGCCTACCGATGTGCCTTTCCGCCTTGGAAGCCGCTTCGTCAATAATTGGGCTGTGGGTAATGACGGTCCATTCTCACCAGAAGAGCACCAACTTCAGTATATGACCTTCTTAACACATCACGAAGGAGACTCGTTACTGGTGGCTGTTGGTGATTGGTCAGACGGGACTGGAAACGTCATGTCCGACCAGCAATCTGGACTCCAGGGTGCAGCAGGCACTCCATGGAGCGGCCCGGTCAAGAAAAAGATCAGTTTGAACGACTATAAGAATAAAAGAAAGACAGGCGCTTCACCTTCTCCCATTGGCCAGGAAGCTTCTAGCCATCATCTCTCAATGGACATTGTACTTGAAGACAGCCAAAGAGCTCCCAAAGTCAGCCCTGTTGGAAACAATATACAGAAATCCTCGGATAAAATTGCGGCTTCACGCATTTCCATTCGACCTGGTTCTGAAACTCTGGAACGCAAGCGGCCCGCTGAATCCGAGCCGGAGAACGCCAGGCTGCAGGAAAGGAAGGGTGCCGAAATGGGTTTAAAGAAACCAAAACTCTCAGTCGAAGCAGAAGCAGAGCTCAATAAGTCTGGGCGCTCAAAAGTTAATGGCCTTCCAACTCTCTTGTCACCCACCCTTCCGCCAACTTCAAGCAGCCCTAAACTGCCCAGGCTCTTATCTCCCACCCTCCCACCAAACATAGAGAAAGAGCTAGCTAGATTTGGCGAGGAGACGCTTGTCCCAGATCCTACGCGGACGAAGAATGCTCCCAATGGCGATGCTTTGAGGGCCAAAACCCAGAAAACAAAGTCCTCTGACCTCAGCACGTCATGCATAGATTCAACCCTCGTCGTTGGCCGTCAGAGCTTGCAAAGCAAATACTCAAATTCTGTGGCTGATAAGCGTCCATCTACTACCCAAGGCTCTGTGGCTTCTTCCTTTAGCGAAACTCCTACGTCCAGCTTACGGTATCAAACAGATGACAAGCCTAACAGCTATGGAAAATCAGCGAAACCGCAATTGTTGATAAAACTCAAGTACGGCAGAGCAAATCGAAAGCGTATTGAAGCTCTCCTCAAATTTTCAGGGAAAAGGAAAGTGGCGCCTCCAGGCTCACCTGCGAAGAATATAGCCGATCCTGATTCCGTTCTGATCAAGAGGCCCAGCGAAACTATAAAGGCTACGGCATCGGAATACCCCAACCCTAGAATTTATCGGTCTGAAGGGAAAACAAGACACGTTCCGAGCAGCCAAGCACCTAAGAATGCGGGCGCTGAAAAACCTCAAACCCCAGTGTCTTCCACCCTCAGTACTATAACACACAACCAGGAAAAAACAAAACAAGCCTCGGCTACGCCTGTTAAAGATCTTAAAAACTCGACTTATGGTTCAGAAAACGTTGGAAACGACGGTAGGACGTTCTCACAGCCAACCGGCAGATATCCACCAGGCGATTCGGTCACTGGTGTAAAACAATCAGTGTCACAGGTAAACCTTCAGCCAAGCGCGTCACGCAATGGTGAGCGTCGAGCTTGGAAGGATGAATATCAGAAGTACGGGAATTTAGGGCGGGAATTAAAGCATGCCGCGGAAAGACATACCGCCAGAGATTGTGTGACTGATGTTGACGAGAAGCTTGCGGCTGCTACTGCTATTGAAGCTATCCTCTGTTTTATTCTGGCCTTTGTTGCTGACGATCAATCCAAAACTTTGTCTCGACAGATTAGCGACTCGTCATCTTGGCTATCTATACTCGCTTATTGGCGTGTGGTCAAAAAGAATAGCGCCCCCTTCCCGCAGCTTCATAGCCTTTGTTTGATTCTTGGTGCCACTTCCTATGATGCTATTCATGCGCTTGATCTGGAGCGGTTTGCGGTCACCCCTTTGCCGGGGGAACACACCCCTGTGCCAACACCAGGTAGTGATGGAAATACTGTTGTATCCGATGAAAGCAAAAAGAATCGAAGGGAGATCTTAGAGCTAAAAAGTCGACTGCCGCAATGCTATAAAGAATCCCAGAGGCTATGGCTTGAAGGCTCACAAGGACTTTCAGAAGACATTCTTGTTCATGAATTCCCTGACACCTGGTCCAGGAGGTCGAGAAACTTTTCCGAACAAGGGAAGCAATGTCTCAAACCTGGTGACTATTCTGGTGAGTTTTTCCTGCCTTTAGGAAGAATGACCACACCAGTAGAAACTGTCCGATTTGGTTACTCAATACTAAGAGAGTGGTGTAAAAAGGAAGGCGTGGAATGGAATGGCCGGCTTTGTTTATAGATTCCCACCACCCGGTCGCTCAACTTCTGTTTTTTGAGATTTCCACTTTTATCTTCATTATTATCTCTTATATGATCTGTTTTCTTCCAGCGATCTGCGTTGGCGTCATTGGATTTGGGGAGGAGGAAGTGGCGTACAAATGTCTACTTCTGCCTGTTATTATAGCATGATACCATGGGTTATATCCCTTTTTCATAGAGGTCATGTATAGTTTCGTCTGGTTTATATGGATATGTTTTTGCGGTCCATAAAATAGGTTGATCATTATCATTCTTCCATAAAGCTACTAGGTAATTTTCAACGGGTTCCCAACCACATTGGTATACGACAGGAACAATTCTTGTTGGCCGAATTTTCAACCCATCCCTAACTTCCATTATTATTTCGACAAATTACATTAGGCAGCATTCAAATCTAGCATCTATATACTAGTTCCTTGCTGTTCTATGTATCTACTGCAATACCAATGCGTTGCTAGTAAATATGAAGTCCATAGCGAAGAACTATAAAGCTCGTCGAGGTCTATATTCATGAAGCACTGATCTGCATCTCATTCTCTCTCTATCTCGAAACTCTTACGCTGAAATATCCAAATCAACGCTCTTCTTTGATAAGTATTGCGATTGACGAACCCGAAACACTAAGACCTTGGATAAACCGAAATCATGGCTTTCCCGAGTAAAACACTCCATAGCTATTTGAGAAGAAGCAGGCAAACCGGGGCCAGGGGGAAGAACGTGCCAAGGTATACGGACAGTGCCCACGTAGCATTAGCATAATGCTATATAATGAGTACAGCCGCTCAGACAATCAAGGCGCTTCTCGATGGCGTGTATGGCTGGAGTCTAAACCTGAACCCTCGCCAAAGAGCCAGTCAGCTTCCCGACAATACCTAGCTTCTCTACCATACGCGCCAATCTCGCTGCCCCAACAGATGACGGAGGCATCTACAATATCAGCTATTACACGTTCTATCGCTCCCAGTACACTCCAACCAATCGTTCCCGCAATCAGCCCGACCACATAGGCATATACGCTGCCTCTAATAACACCGCTACCGCTCGCCACACCTAGGTCACGAGCAGTAGTCACCCAACCTCCAAACCCAAGAGCCAGAGACATCATGAGTCGTGCAGCATGGAGGATCAGTTTTGAAAGTCGATAGGGCAGGAGAGGCGTCATATTTTCGTGTGATTGTGAATAGGACCGAGGATGAAGTGAGGAATTGATTATCGTAGACGAAAGAGTCGTCATCCGGGCAAGACTTCGAGCAGACACAATCAGCGGCTGTGAATGTATTGCAGCATATGTGAGTGCAAGAGGATCTGTGAGTGTTGTGACTGGTGTGGGTACAACGGAGTAAGCGAACAAGCTCAAGACAGAGGTCACACGACTCGGGAGTAAGAGAAGAGGAAGTCGAACAAGGAGTGCACTTAATCTGGACAAGCAAATCGTGCCAAATAGAGCCGTGAGCGAATGGACAATTGCTGCCCAAACAATCTGTCTTGATGTCGGGGTAGGACTTGCAAGCCTGTGAAAGTACCACTGGCTCACTGTAGCAGCTGTAACTGCACGTTGAATGCCGGCGATGACTCCCAGTGACCAAACATAGACGAGAATGAAGTAGACCCCGAGCCACCAACTACTGAAACTGATGATGAAGCGACCCGGTCCCATTATGCTTCCTCCTAGGAATACCCGCGTGAACATAAGCATCCACAACCATGTCCATGAAGCGACGAAGACGAGAATACCAAGACCAAGGATCAGTAGCTCCGGGTTTGTGGCGAGGATCCGACATGCAAACTCGAGGATTCTGATCGCTTTACCTATAGCATGACGACCCCGGATTACATTATATATCCACACGCTAGCTATAATGAATGGAGCAATGGATCCCCATCTCATTGCTTTATCCTGTATGCTTGTTCCATGCCAGGCTCCTTTGAAGCTTGAAACAAATGGATAAAGAGAGAAGGAATATAAGATCACGGGAACAGCGACAATGATCACGTATACCAGTTGGCGTATGTAGGACCGCAATAGTGCCAGCCAAATCAGTGAGGCAAAAACCGAGGTAACAGTATAGGAACCAAGCAGATAGAACGAGGAGTGAATGGTCAAGTATATCGTGTCGCCCCATGTTGATTTATTTCCCGAGGGAGCGGAAGTATGGAGATAGACTAGGAAAGAAGTAGCGAAAAGGCAGGCGATAGATATCAAAAAAAGTTGACCCCAGAAGACATCGTGCATGGGCGGTTCGGTTCTTACCGGGGCAAACGAGGCTTGAACAGGGTCCGCGGGACTTAGTGGCCGGGGATCATTTATTAACGGTTGCCTGTCTGTTTCCATCGGCATGAAAAATGAATCTATGCCAAAATTGCCCTTCCGTGGTTGAGACTGCCCCCGAAATCGTTGGATGGAAGGAGGGTTGTCATCACCTGTCTCTGAAGAATCGGTTCTATTACCATCCAACGCGGATTGCAGGCTATCTTCGAGGTGAACGTCAACTAGGTTAGCTCTAGCTCTGACATTGTATCCGTCTCTGAGTGGTCCATCGTCAACATCAACAGCCTCGACTTCTTTCTCAGCAGTCACATCTCGTTCCCCGTGATAGGATTTCCCAGCACGCCAGGAGCTCCTAATTCCTTGCACCTTGCCATGTATTCCATATATAGATGTTCCATGGTCTTCGACTCTATTTGAATGGTCATCATCTTCATCGATCTCCGAAGAGGCTTTCAGATGACTACTGCCAAAATTTCGCCTTGATTTCTGGAGGGCATAGAAGTCGGCAATCTCACGCTCATGCTCTGCTTCATCATCGTCTTCACAAAAGTCATCAGTGGCACTGTAGAAAAGAGGCGCAGGCTGGGCCAAGTTTCGAGAACCAAGAGGAAGGTTAGAAATCTGAGATGCCGTTGGGTGATACGGGTCAAGGGCTGCCCGTTGCAGAAAGGACCGCGAGGATGGAAAGCGGGAACTTCCTGGTTGCTGCATTAGACGCCCATGACCTTTCCTGCGTGTTTCGTCAGACTGAGGAAGTAGTCGTGATTGTGACTGGGCGAGGAAGCGAGAGGCATCTGTGTGATGGTGAGCGATGGACCAAGAAATTAGGTGTAGATAGTGACGACTCTATAACTCTATATGGCACATACATTCCGAGAACATCTCTAACTAACCCCCGATGGAAAGCCAATTTGCGGTATAAAGCTGCTGCTGCTCGAGTGTCCTGAATGTTGCTCGTTCGAATGTCGATATGGAAGCGGTGAGCTCCAATAGATTTAGTGATAGTTTCAGAGCCAGTGGTACGTGGAGGCTGGCAAGGAGAACATCTGGGAAAATATCTACCCGAGAGTAACTTGCTCGGAAATTGTACGACAAAATGGAAGGGGGAAATGGAAGCCTTTGTAAGGCATAAAGTGAATCAGTAGTACCTACTAGGGAGAAGGTGCAAGCGTCATAAGGCAAGGTCATGGTGATAGATGACTCAGCTTTCGGGAGTGTCTCCACTTAAAGGAACCTAACGCCATGGGTTCCGGAAAGAACCTTTAAACTAACTGTACTCCGGAGTATATCTGGTTTTGTTCCGGAAGCTCTAGATAGTAGTATCTACTCCAGATACTCCGTTCACGGATCTACTATGTACTAGTCTACTAAGTACAATGAGATGACCCACACAGGTGATCCACAGTGCTTGGCAGATCATATATATTCATCTCGCAAGGCTGTGTTGGTCACCCATTTATTAATTATCACATGGCGAGGTTCTGTATGGATCGTAACAAAGTATCATGGCAGCTCATTGTTTTCTGATTATATTGTATTAAAATGACCAGTTTTGGAAGAAAAAAAAAAGAAAAAGAAAAAGAAAAGACCACACTATCAAATCAGTTTGTTCGAGTCATGATCAGAAGTTGGATGTTATGCCTAAGAAGAGCAAGAGTCAGCAGTTAAATGACTTAGCGTGGAGTTCGGTAAAGGGGATTGCTGTGTCCGTCTAATCACGTGTACGACGAAGGCTGCCGCCCCATACCAGACCTATCAGGAGAGGAAAGCTCTGAAAAGCCCGCTTCCACTTGTGTGTTAAAGAGCGCCTCAGGCAATTCTCATATGACCCATATAGGGCTAGGACGATTTCCTTTAAAGTCTCTAGTGCCACTTCAACGGTGTACTTCTTTTAAACCCTGTCTCGGTAGTTTTAGCAACGGTTTTCGGAGCATGAGTCTCAGGCACCTGAGCTGGCGGATATTAGTTAATCAGGAAACAACTATCTTCAAAACTAGAGTCCGCTGTATCCATGTCACAGCCATGGGATTACATCGCTAAGCTTGTCTGTATTGGTGACTCTGGGACTGGAAAGTCTAGCGTAAGTGTCTGATCGCCCTTTGAATGCCGGAGCTCGATCATGCTGATCCTTGCTGTAGTTGACTATTCGGCTTTGCGAAGGACGCTTTTCATCTTCCCACGATGTGACCATTGGTGTGGAGTTTGGTTCGCGTATTGTTCCAGTTGGACCACCTGCTTCAAAGGCCCTAAATATAGAACCAGACACCAAGCCTCGCAACCGTTCCTTTTCGTCGCCAGTAGCTCTAGATGCCGCAGAGGAGCCCATCGTCTCCGGTTTACCTACTCCCCCACGAAAAATAGCTGAGTCTCAGAAAAAGATGAAGCTATCACTTTGGGATACAGCAGGTCAGGAAACGTACAAATCGATCACGCGGTCTTATTTTCGTGGTGCCTCTGGTGCTCTGCTTGTGTTCGATATAACGAGACCATCTACGTTTACTTCATGCACACAGTGGTTGCAGGATTTGCGACAAATTGCGGAAGAAGGAATTGTAGTCATCCTGGTCGGTAACAAAAGCGATCTGGCCGGTGATGATTCGGAACGGAATCAGAGGCATGTTACGAGGCGAGAGGCGGAAGAGTGGTGCCGCATGAACAACGTCGTACGCTACGTTGAGACCAGTGCAAAGTCTGGTGATGGCGTCGAGCGTGCGTTTCTTGAGGTCGCCGAGAGAATCTATCGAAATATCGAGGCGGGCAGGTACGATTTGAATGATCGCAGAAGCGGAGTGAAGGGCTTCGGCGCTACCGGTGGGGGTAACACTAGTGTCCCGACAACTGTCACTCTAGGCTTGAACGATGCGATGCGCAGGGGCGGAAATGCATGGGCTGGAAACTGTTGTTGAATAGATCTCGGAGTGCGCCCACGACTGCGATAATCATGATTGTACAATGCTGCCTGATATCAGCGAGAAGTCTACTAGGTTACCCTTTTTAAGACGTAATCCTCAATGCCTGAGCTAGGCATTAGGAGAGTTTAAAACTTCCTAAAAACTACTGATAGAGATTAATAATCCTTCCGCATTTGACATGGTAAATTACAGACTTCATTGATATCGCCGACATGGCCGATGATGTGCTACATAAACCATAGTCAAGGTACCTAGTAATTTAATAGCAATACAATGGAAGCAAGAGGGACTGAAAGCAGCGGTAGGGCGATAATAAAGAAGGAAGGTAAGACAAAGTATAGGGAGACAAAAGAGGAAAGAAAAGTAGACAGCAGGAGGGAATGACAGAAGAGGCAAGGTGTTTTAATTGGCGATGCGCCAGCCGCTCAGCCAGTCCAAATGACCCCACTGTTGACTTGAACCTTCAATGCCAAACACAATCACGCGGAAGTGCACGAACATTCCAACTATGATAGCATAAAGTAAAGAATAGATCATCCAGCTGGATTTAACATTCATTGTTTGCGTGAGCCAGTCAACACAGAAGCCAAAGGTAAGAATGGCGTAGTACAGTGCTGGGTAGTAATGATGAACATACGTCACTCTTCCCATGACAATAAAAGGCAGATAATGCAGAATCCATCCAATGACTGGGTACAAGCCAGAATAATGGATATGGTTAATATCTGCCTGGGAAAGCTCATTGTAGCCTCGCTGCCAGCGCACGAGATACCATAATACCAAGAGCCCAAAGACTCCAAGGCTAATTGTACTTCCCCAGTAAACGAATGGGTTGCCAAGGAGATAGTATTTGATCGTATTGTCGTCCCAGGAGCACATCCGGAGCCCAACATTAAGTATAGGCCACTGCCAAAATTTTGAGGCGAGATCATCTTGCTTATCTGGGTCGGGAACCAACGCATTGTTGGATGTCATCATAGCAACATTCAAATGGATGAAGTCTTTCATGAAAGGCGACTTATAGGATCCCGGATCACCCGGTGGAACTGTATAATGGATGGTTAATATCCTTTCCTCTGTAAATGCATGGGGCTCAAAAATTGAAACTTACGCCGATCGTTAGCATGAGACTCGACATTCCAGTGTGTGTAAACATCGCTCGGTTTGTTCTCCTTCACGCATGTGGTTTCAATCTGTTTGAAGCCCCATTGGGGGAGATTAACGTTGCCTGCTCGTAAATAACAACCCAGGACAGGATGTCGCAAGCGAAAAGCAGTGGTAAGAGTCCTGATTTTACTTCTATCCTTCGATGCAACATCATCAACAACCTCAACCAACCAATGATCTTTATCATCACCGATAGTGATATTGCCATAGCATGAGACTTCGTAGTGTGACTTGGTAATTGGTGCAGAAATAACATGAGAGTGCAAATTTCGGCCTGTCTGTCCATGAATAAGACGAATGACATCACCATCACCTACAAACTTTAGAGGCGCACTCGGATCATACTCTGGCTCGCGGCGGCTTGGGTAGATGAACCAGTCGTTGTTGGCGTCCTTGTGGTGATAACAGGTAACCTGTTGCTGGGTGGACCCCTCAGGGTATGTCTGGATATGCGAATGGAGAAGCCCACCGCCGTAACCCATGTTCTTCAGTGTGACTCTAGAACCAAGAGCAATTTCCAGGGGGCTATCTTTCCCGACCTCAGTTCCTCTCAGATTAGCCTGGAAAAGTGAACTCATTTGGGCGTCGCCCGGTCCACTATTTTCCAGAACCAAGAAATGCAGGTAGAATGAAAATACATAAACCAAAACGGGTATAATGATCAGCCCCACCACACGAGCCATGAGATGCTTGGCAAGGACGACCTGGGAGTGGGCTTAGCAAAACATTCGAGCTACTGATTCCTTCCATAACTGACCTCTGACATCTTTAGATCGCCAAATTTGTTCCATAGATCCTCGATCGTATAGAGGCCTACAAGCGCTGTGCAAAAGAAGCCTACCCACTTCACACTGCACACACAGCCAATGCTTATCCCGGTCAGGAATAGCCAGGCAAACCACTCAATAGAGAAACTCGCATGTTGTAGTCGGTGAAACTTTGCCCAGCAGAAGGTGGTAGTGAACGTGAAACAGAGCAGCATGGAATCCAGTAATATAAACCTTGAGATGGTTGCGTATGAGTTATCAAGGAGCACCATCAAACTCACGAGCCAGATAGTAGCTCTGCGAAAGCCAAGTTCTCGTGCTGTATAATAAGCAAGTGGCACGCACGCGACGCCGAATGCAGCGTTAAAGACGCGCATAAAAGTATAATTGACTTCTTCCGGATATTTATCACCGGATTTGAACTCGAATGACCCATTGTAACCGGCAAGATAACCCGACAAGCCGACAAGCATTTTCCCCAGCGGCGGGTGTACGTCGAAGTAGAACTCACGTTTCAAGTAATGTGACCCAAACTTGCCAAAGCTAAACCTAGGGTAAGAAACTGGGCCAACACAATACGACTCATTAGGGTTTATGTTTCTCTTACTGCGCTTCATCCCAAGTCACGATATTCGAGCGACCAATCCGGTACATGCGAGTGAAGATAGCTACAGCCGTCAACAGAATGGGCATTATCAGGGGTTCCCAATTATCTAGGATGGAAACTGGTGAATTGGACTACAGGCCAATCCGACTAGCGTTAGTCCTTGAGCACTGTATTTTCAGGGCGCTAGAATTGAAGGGAAACATACTTTAGGCTTGCTCTCCTCCGTGCCATCGGGTTTCTTTCTAGGCCCCTCAGTATGCGGGACATTTCGGCGCCGTATATCAGAGGCTAAATTCACACCGGTACTTGATGCAGAGTCCATTTCCGCTATAGTGGAGGACCCCTCCCTGTGAGTTTCCGGTTTAGTAATGAGGGGAGGAAACGGCGTATATCCGGTGAGAAGGATCGAAGTATTGGCCAAGACGTAGTAATAAAAAAGGGAAAAGAAAAGAAAAGAAAAGAAAAAGTGGTGGAACGAAAGGAAATACTGAACAAGAAAGGGTAATTGGGTTCAACAATAAGACAGTCTCATATCCGATACCATAACATGGAGTTAACTCCGTGAATGCGAGATAATGGGAGGTCGTGTCTACAGTTCTCGTGGACAAGTGAATCAATTTCGGCGAATTGAACAAAGTGGAGGAAAATAAAGGATCGAATGTAGAGAATAGAAGAAGAAGCCACAAGAACAGTCAAATGATTAGGGGGGACAGGGAAGGCATTGGAAATGAAAGACGACAACACTTTTCAAATGCAGGAGCAGTGGTGTAGGTAGTGGAAGCAAATGGAGAGTTGGCCTGGACATAACACGGAAAAACCGGCGCGGTCGTCCTAAGCTGCGGCCCCGCTTAGGCCACATTTAATTCCGGCCATCGGTTCTGTACTAATATTATCGATCACAAATCTCTCCAGTGTAAAAGAGAGGTGTTGGAAGAACTCTGCAAGCTAAAACCAGATGATATGTAGCATTATAGCAGTACATTCTTTCAAATGGAAATCTTCTGTCCTTAGGGCCATGTCACACTTACAGAGTCTATCTTGCAAGGCTCATCTCACGCGAATATTTACAGTGATTGTCGTGCTGCCTGGAAGATATAAAGACAAAGGAAGTAGACGATATTCCATACCACGTTACTAGTTATGTACTGTTCTAAGTACGGTGTACTCTAGCAGTGTTGGTCCACGGTGTAGACACACAAGACCGATGGAGGTCTAGAACATTACTAGTTCGGTGTAGTATTTTGCATAATGCCTATTAGAAGTTTCCCTGTGGCCAAACAACTGTCACTCTAAACATCTAAATAAACTGCTCAGATAGTAATATAATTCTACCTACAATAAAGGTTATTCATAAATGAATAAGTACTTGAACACACTGTGAAGATACTACAGTAGTACTACTACATACTAGCAGTAGTAAGGTACTAGGAGGTACCAAGATCAATGCTATCAAAATCCATCTCTTATTGGCTTGATTGACGTTGCTCTACGCCACTAGATCACAAATGGGTTAGTTCAGAAACCTCAGTCAGGGCTCTGATCTTTAAATACTCTGTACTGTCAACTCAGTACGCGAGTCGGTACGCTTGAATCAACATAACTTAGCCTCCATCACGCCTCCTTCCCGCACCTCCTTGTCTTTCTTCTGCATATTGTATGGTTCTGTAGTACCCAGCATGAAGTAGAGATAGACTACCTCCCATGCCTGGCGACAGGAAGAAATTCATATCATAAATCAACACTGCTGTATACTAGAAAACATCTCTTATGGGTTGGGAGAGGATAGCAACTGGGGATTGAGTCATGAGGCGTAGAGTCGCCAGCTTGGTCAGGCTTGCTTTGTGCTGTTCGATCAACTTGTCATTTTTACCAGTCTTGGATAAATTCCTCCTGCAGTGGTTTGAAAGCCTCCACCGTCATCAATGCTGTGATGTTATCCCAGCAGATCCTCCAGAGAAAAAGTCCGCATTAGGTCTAGCTCTACATTATGCAAACTTGGTCTATATAGACCAATCATAGCGCAGGCATCTCGAGAAAAGTCGCTTGTTGTGGGTCCATTTATGGACATAACTACTTAGTACCTAGGTAGTACCTATGGACTACTACCTACCGTAGATAGTAGTAGTAGCCGATAGAGGTTCTAACTAATGTTTAATAATATTATCTATACATAGCTGTAATATATATATTTAGTACTTTTTCTCACTGATATAC